AATTATTAAGAAACGGGTGATCTCTTTCCACTGGGATTGCTAAACTGGGAAAATGGAAGCCTGGTCTTTCTCGCAGCTATCTCGCTAACATAAGGAAGGGATATGTCTAAGCCTGTTTCCAACCCAGTTGAAAGAAGAGCTGAGAAATAAAAGGAATAAGTTTCCTTTTATTTAATGATTATTTAAGCACCTAGATTGGATATGCCTATATAGAGATACCTGAGGTTTGCTAATGTGGGTCAATATATTTCCTTGCCTTTCTTCTGCCCTCCTTTCTCCTCCTCTGTCTCCTTCTCTTTCTCCTTTTTCTTCTCCCTCTTCTTCCTCTTTTTGCTTAAGTTTGTTGATAGAGCTCTGACCAAATCATATGGTGCATGTGGTAGAGATAGCTAGTTGTTTATTCAATATCCATTTTCCCCTTTATTCTCAGCAACGTAACTTCAGTTATATTCAAGATGTCAATGGCCCCCACTTTAAAAATGCACTTCACAGCCTCTTTCCTAGATAGGTATGACCATGTAACTAGATACAGGCCAAAGGGATATAGACAGAAGTTATAGGATGGGATTTATTAGAAGGTTCTTATTAACAGAAGCTCAGATGAGTTCATTTGCTCCTTGCCCCTCTGCTTATTCCTGCCTGAAATGGACATATGATGGTTGTGTCACGGGATCTTTAAGGTGTCACTTCACCAGCCGGAAACCTCTGTGGCTGGCAGTGCCTTCTGCCTGAGTATTACTTGCTCCCACTGGGCTCGTTCCACCCACTCAGCCTGGCAGGCTGCACTCAGCTCGCGCTACCAGCCCGGATCCCACACCTGCCAAGTGTGAGCCAGGCTCAGAGTAGCAACGGGTGTGTGGGCGAGCAAGTGCGGGGTCCAGCCGCTGTGCACACCCAGGCACGCTGGCTGCTGCAGTGGGGCAGGCAGCTCCAGGCACTGGCATAGGTGCCGGCTCCGTGCAAGGCTGAGGCTGGATGAGATGTACTGCACGTGGCTTCTGCTACAGGCATCTACATCTGGCCAAGGGGAACACAGTGCTACCTGGAAGCTTGGAGATGCCAGGAACCACAGGACCCCAAAGAGCAGGTGTCACAGCCCTGGCTCAGGGAGCCCCCAGGTCTGGGATCCCCAAAGGGCCACAGCTCTTCTCTTCTTCCCTCTTCTCACCTCATCGCCCACAACATGGCGAGTGCAGGGGCATGTTTTAGCTCTGTTTGTGTTACAGCTCTTTTAATCCCGTCATTAGCGGGCCCCGAGTTCTCGTCCCACCTCTAGGAAGAATTAGGTATGCAGACACCTGGAGGGTGAGCAAGGCAAAAAGGTGCTTTATTGAGAGCCAGAAAAGCTCAGAGGAGACCCTCAGTGGGTAGCTCCTCTCCGCAGGCAGGTTGTCCCGTCATCTGCCAGTCGGGTGGAGTCTGAGGTTTTTACGGGCTTCAGAGGGGAGAAAGTGCATGCTGATTGGTCCATAGGCAGCCGTGGGTGGGTCCAGAAAATGTACCGTAAATTCTCACTCCAGTCCACAGAACTGGCAGCCAAGCCCTCAGACTTCAGGCCATCCCTGGCTTGAAGGTGGGGCTTCACCGGGAACCCGCCCCTTTTCTCCCAGGAGCCTGTCTGCCTCTTGCTGCCATCAATCTGCCATCCCTGAACAGCAGAGGCTGTTCATGCCTAGGGGTGCCTATAGGCCCATGCAGAGCTACCCTTAACCCTCCTTGGCCTCCCTCTCATGCTGATCGGAGCCCAAAGTCCAAAGGGGGCCCAAGTGGCAGGGGGCTGGTTGTCGGCACTGCCCAGAGCATGCACACACCCAGCCAGGTCATGACAGTGCCTGGGATAGGCCACAACCTTGCTCCAAATTGGAGCAGGGGCCAGGAGTCGGGAGAGGCCAGGCAGTGGGAGTAGGCACTTCCGAGCCTGCGGGGGCACAGGAACTTCCCGGTCCCCGAGAGTGCAGAGATGTCCAGGTCCACAGCTGCACCAGGGAGCACAAGGCTGCCCCACCCTGCCAGCTCAGAAGGGGATGGGACTTCTGCCTGTTGCCAGCTTTTGCTGGTTCTGTGGAGCATGCAGTCCTGGCTGTGCCTCCCCTGCTGCAGCCAGCATCATGACAGCGGCCACTCCAGATGGGCCACCACTGCCATCAGTTGCAATTCCAGTGGCCATCTTATAACCTTGGGGATGAAAGACATGTATTAAGAAAGGCCTAGATTTCTGCTGTCTTTGTGGAACTCCCTATCAGTGTGGATCGCCCATTTCCAAACCATTTTTTTATGTAAAATAATATACTCTTAGGCATTTGAGTCATTGTAGTTAGGTCTCTATTTCTAGTAGCTGACAACATTTCTAGCTAATATGATACTTCTCTGCAATCAGACATCAATTAAATACTTTGGTTTATTTCGTGTGGATGTGATATAAGGAGAAATTATGTAACAATATCTTTGCTTAAAATGATAGGTATTTCTCTTTATTTTTCCTCATTTATGAATTTTAGGTGAGAAGCAATCAGTGCCGGCCACTACTATCTCAACTTTTTAATCTCATCTTTTCCATATTATTACAAAAAATTTGGATAGGTCAATGTGTGGCAGTTTAGAATCACAAAGCTTCGCCAATATGAACTCGTAGATCTCCTCAACTTTTAACCTTCTGTTTATGTTTACTATTATTGTCCCATTTTAGGCCATTATCATTTAGTCAGTTACTTGGGGCTTCCTGTATCTAAATCTTTTTCACTAAGTCTAATTATCTGCACTGACATCAGAATAACCATTCAATATATATTCTGATTTTTAAAATTGCTTTAAAAACAACTACCTAAATGAACTGGAGAGTAACTAAAATCAGGCAGAAGCTGGATATAAGTCAACACTTAAAGGAAAAAAGTGGCAACAGATGAGATACAGCACTAGAAAGAAATGAGCTATCAAGTCATCAAAAGACATAGAGAAACTTTAAATGCATATTACTAAGTGAGAAAAGCCAATCTGAAAAGGCTACATACTGTATGATTCCAAATATATGACATTCTGGGAAAGGCAAAATTAAAGACACCAAAAAAGATTAATGGTTGCCAAAACTTGTGGAGAGGGAGGGATGAATTGACAGAACACAGAGGATTTTTAGGGCAGTGAAACTGTTCTGTGTGATACTACAATGGTGAATAAATGTCATTATATATTTGTCAAAATTCATAGAATGTACAACAGCAAGAGTGAGTTCTACTGTAAACTATGTATTTTGGGTGATAACAATGTGTCAGTATAAGTTCAGTTTTAACAAATGTTCTAATATGGTGTGAAATGTCCATAGTTGGGGAGATTGTGCATGTATGGGGACAAGAGTATATGGGAAGTCTCTGAACTTTCTGATCAATTCTGCTGTGAACTTAAAACTGCTCTAATAAATAAAGTTTATTAATTTAAAAATTTATAATAATCTAAGAAATATGATAGAATCCAAAGTCTCTACAATATGATTTTTACAAGAACACATAGAAAATTACTACCTATAGGCCATACTTACAAGAAAAGGTAATCAGTGAAGACCAACCTCGTGATGACTCAAATGTTGGGATTAGCAGAGGATTTTAAAGCAGCTGTTATGCTGTGCTCAAGGATATAAGAGAAAATATGCTCATAATGATTGAACAAATAGGGAATATCAGAGAAAAAAACAAAAATAATATCTGAAATTTAAAAAATACTGTGTGGGCTTAACAGCAGTTTAGAGATGATGAAAGTCACTGAACTTGAGGATACAGCAATCAAAATTATCTACTCTGAGAAACAGAAAGCAACAAAGATATAAATTAAGCTGGAAAAAAAAAAACCTCACGGTATTGTGAGACAATTGAAAAAAATCTAATATATGTAAATCAGATTTCTAGAAAGAGAAACAAGTGGGAATGAACCTGAAAAAATATGTGACTTAATAATTTGTTAAAAAATATAAGTGTACAAAATCAAGAACCTCAGACAACCTCAACTAGAAAAATATGAAGAAAATAATATCATAATCAAATTGCTGCAAATCAAAGAGAAAAAGAAAATCTTGAATGCAGCCAGAGTAAAATGACACATCACATATAGGAGAATCATGGTATGAGTGACTGCCAACTTTTCTTCAAAAACAAGGGAGACCAAAAAGACAGTGGCACGACATTTTTAAAGGGCTGGAAGAAAATTACTATGCAACTTATATCCATGGAAAAGATCCTTCACAAATAAGAAATACACGTATTTTCAAATAAATGTAAACTAAACCTTACACCAAAGAAATAAAAATGTATATGTATAAATAGATATGTACAAGAATGCTTGTAGGCTTGTAGCAGCTTTATTCTTAATTCTTAAAGCAAAACAGTATCTACAAGAGCATGGATAAAATGTTGGTATATTCATGCAATGGAGACTATTCAAAAATAAAAATGAATGCAATATGGATATATACAACATGGATGAATCTCTAAAACAATGCTGAGTGAAAGAAAGTTTATGCAAAGAGTACATACTGTATGATTCTATTTTAGAACAGTGGTTGTCTATGGGTGGAGGGGTGGGCATTCACTGTAAAGGGAGTATGAGGCAACTTTTGTGGTGATAGTATTTTTCTGTATTTTCTTTCTCAGTCATTTGTTCAAACTCATGGAATAGTACACTTAAGATATGTGCATGTCACTATATGTAAATTTTATCAAGACATAATATAAATAAATAATGAACTCACGTTAATGACAACAAAACTATAATCATAACACTTCTACATATCATAGTGGCTTATTCACTCTTTTGTCACGCTTATTAAGTGTAATGTGCTCAGATAAACATTCCATTGCCATGGAAGGATGGTATTTTAACGATGATAAAGTGAATATTGGATAAATTGCATTTGTGTCACAGAGAGTAAGTTGGTGGATAGATTTCTAATTACAGATTGAATCTTTTAGTCAGTTTTAGTTCTATTCAGAATTCTAATTTTTCCTCAATTTTTCTAGGAAATTGTCCTTTTCACCTAAATTTTCGAATATCTTGGCATGAGGTAAGATTATTTTTATGCTGTTTTAAATCTCTATTGTATTTATAGAAACGTAATTTTTTAAAATAGGAGGTGATCCTGGTTGGATCACATTCTCTCTGCTGGAATTCCATTGTGTCCTGATTTTGAAGTGTTGAAAGTATCCAGGCCAGATATATCACTAACCTAGTTTTAGTCCAGTTTTCTGGAATGAGTTTTCATAATATGTATACATACACAGATAATATAAATAAAGACTAAAAACCTACATCAGTAAAGGCTTGAAGTTTTGATTTATGAGATATTCCCTCCTCCCTACCATGGCTGCCAGAAGCCTCAGCTCATGCCCTTATGACTCTGATTTGAATTTTCTTTTTCATTTCTGTTATTAGTGGCATAGTACTTTCTTTGTTGCAAGCTTAACTAGGATTTTAAAACAATTTTCTCAAGCAATTCTGAAAAAAAAATGTCTAGCATTAATGGTTGTAGAAATAAAAATGAAAATAAATGAATCAAGCATTTTACTCAAAGGATTGACAAGGAATTACAAAATAAGCAAAGGAAAACAGAAGGAACTAACACAGATAAAAACAAAAATTGGTGAGTTAGAAAGCTTAAAGTAGAGCTCAAGAATACAGTTATAGAGTAATTTGAAAAATTAGTTAACTAGCTAAGATAATCATGAAAAAATAATACAAAATAAAGGGGAAAATAAGAAACAGAACTTAGAATCATGAGACAAGCTTGCTTAAAACTACGCCAAAATGTTAGAACACCTGAAAAAAAGTATTTTTCTAGGAAAATTATTTGTGAAAGCTGAACTCTGAAGATAGAAAACTTTTAAAGAGATCAACTACCACAGGAGAAATAGAGGAAGTAAAGACCTAACTCTTCAAAAGGCCCAGATCCAGACAGCTCTAGGGGAATTTAACTAAACTTTTTAAGATCATATAATTCCAGTGCTGTTTTAAAATGTTCCAGAGCAAGGAAAAAAAAAAAAACTACTGAGTTCATTTTTATAAAGTGAGTAAATACTGATTCACTATCTGAAAAAATGCACAGAAACCTGTATACTGATCTACATGAATACTGGTACAAAAATATTAAACAAATGATAATCAAAGAGAACCCAGGATGGCAATAAAAAAAAAAAAAAAACCTATCACCATTTGGGATTTATTCCAATAATGCAAGAAGCTTCAATATTAGAGTTGTCAAACTAAATAATATAGAGAGAGGCTCTCTTTTAAACAAAATGCTATTTATTAGAGAATGGATATTGCAATGGGAATACATGTGCCACAGTAAACTATGTGCGTATTCAAGGAGTTAAAAAAAGAAAAAGGTTTTTTTTAAAGGAAAAATGAGGAGGATTAAATAATTGTTTTGAGATAATTATCCTTGGCTACAAGGATCGATAACAAGAGTGATACCAGTCTGAGACTGGACAGGCAGTTGCTGGGCAGACAACCTCACGGAAGTATTTTTGTGTGTGTAAGATTGCAACGCCCTTTGTGCAAGGTTGTGTTTTTTGCAGTCTTTTGTGAGTTGCTGGGCAGACAACCTCACGAAAGTATTTTTGTGTGTGTAAGATTGCAACGCCCTTTGTGCAAGGTTGTGTTTTTTGCAGTCTTTTGTGATAGTTCTTGTTGTCAGGCATTCATGCATGACAACTCTTCCTTCATGGCCTTCCCTGACTCCATTTGTCAGGGTTTTAACACAAATTAACTCCCATTTTGATTCTGACAACTTTCACAGGTCTTTATTAGTACATATAATATTAATACATATACAATGAAAAATAACATAATCCTGAATCATATAATGACCTCCACAGATGGTGAATAGGCATTTGACAAAATCCAACAACTACTTATTATTTAAAAAATTTTAATGAAACAGAAATTCATTGATATTTCCTTAAAATGAAAATTTTACCTATCCCTGACCAAAATTTAGCATCATAATTGTGATCAAACTTTATAATCATTTCTCATTAAAGCCAGGGACAAGACAAATCTGCCAACTCTCATCGCTATAATTATTATTGTAGTCTAGCTACTGAAAAAATAATACAAGAGAAATCTATTTGAGGTACAAAATTGGAAAGAATTTAAAACTATCACTATTAGTATTACTATTAGTACACAGAAAATCCAAAATAAGAATAGAAAAATTCAGTAGGGTAGTGAGGTAGAAAATAAAGAGCTTTCTTATATACATATTACAATATAATATGTAATTTTAAAAATCCAATTTATAATAGCAACAAAAAAATAAAACTAAAAAGAATGCAATATATGTATATAAACAACTGTAAACTGCCTCTGAAAGACATTTAAAAAAAGAAAAGAATTAGTATTATATGTATACATTTTTACAAATTTTATTTAAAATATTAATAAAAAGCAAGTAACAAATATCAACTTTGTTTTCAGTACACAGTTCGATCCTAAAGCTCATAGGAAAAATAAACAGTCAAATAGCCAGGAAAGCTCTGAAAAGGAAGAGCAATGAAGAAGGACCAGAATTACAGAGCAATAAAATAAATTATATAAGCACCAATGATTACAGTAAAAATTACAGAAATAGAATCAGAAGCATAAGAAAATTTGCTATTTGACATAGGTGGTACTGGAACATTTTGGTAACCATTTGGAAAAACAGATATGGATCCTTAACTCACACTGTACTTTATTTGTGAATAAAGTCCAAATCTAAATATTTCAATGAAAATTTAATAAAACATGAACATACTAGAAGAAAACATGGGAGAATTCTTTATTATATGGGGTTAGGGGTGGCTTTTCTATGACCCCACATCTAAAAGGCATTAAACAAAATTGACAAATTTGGCTACGTATATATGAAAACTGCATGCCAAATAAAAATCATAAGACAAATGACTTAACAAAGTGGTAACACATATCACAAAGGGCTAATCTCCCTACTCAATAAAGGCCTTCTACAAATTAACAAGGAAAGGATCCTAAAAGTGAGCAAAAAATATGAGCAGAAGGTTAACAGAAAGGAAATACAAATGGCTTTGACACATTCTAAAGATGTTCAACTCACTCATAATAAGAATAGTACATTATACTTAGAGGATATATTTTTCATCTATCAGACTGGCTAACATCAAAAGTTAGATAAGACTCAGTTGGCAATATTGTGAGGAAATAGACATATTGCTCCTGAGGGAGTATAAGTAGCTATAATTTTCATAGTGAAGTAATTTGGCAATATTCATCATTATTACAAATGCTTATGTCCTTCTATCTAGCAATCCCACTTTTGGGACTTTATCCTTCACACACATAGTCTTCACATGTAGAAAATGGCAAATATATACAAGTTCATTATTGGAGAATTTTCTGTAATTGAAAATGGAAACAACTGAAAAAATTTATTAAGTGGGAATAGATAAATTACTGTGTATTCTTACAATTTGTCTGCTATACACTACATACACCTAAAAAAAAAAAAGGAGTAAGGTCTCTACTATAGACTTATGCTAATATTTCCAATATATATTAGTAAAAAGAGCAGGATACAGAATAGTGTGTATGATATGCTATTTTTGCATAAGAAAAATTTGATTAGAATAAGATTTTATGTTCATATATGTCTGTATATTAATAAAGAAATTCTGAAAGGATACATAAGGAACTAATAATGGGTCAGATGTGGTGGCTCATGCCTGTAATCCCAGCACTTTGGGAGGTCAAGGCGGGTGGATCCCTTGAGGTCAGCAGTTTGAGACCACCCTGGCTAACATGGTGAAACCCTATTTCTACTAAAAATACAAAAAAATAGCTGGGCGTGGTGGATTACAGAATCCCGGCTACTCGGGAGGCTGAGGCAGAAGAATCGCTTGAACCAGGAGATGGAGGTTGCAGTGAGTCTAGATTGCGCTGTTGCACTCCAGCTTGAGCAACAAGAGCAAAACTCCGTCTCAAAAAAAAAAAAAAAAAAAAAAAAAAGAAAAAGAAAAAGAAACTAATAATGGCATTTATCTCGTCTTTGGAGGGGCTGAGAATTGAGTGAATGGGAACGTATTTAAATTATGTGTTTAACTTCATGTGTGATAACTAAATTTGAAGTGTGTCATATTTGTCATTTTTTATCTGTTATATTTTATGCTTATAGCTGGAAGGTTTCCATTTTAGTTTACTCCAGAAATCTCTGTTACAAACATTTTTTTTTTTTAAGTAAAGGCTATTGGAAAAACAAACTGAATAGCTGAGTGCAGATGAGTGCAGTGGCTCACACATGTAACCCCAACAACTCAGGAGGCTGAGGTGGGAGGATTGTTTGAAGCCAGGAGTTTGAGACTAGTCTGGGCAACACAGCAAGACCCTGTCTCTACAAAAAATTTTTAAAATTAGCCAGGCATAGTGGAATGCATCTGTAGTCCTAGCTGCTTGGAAAGCTAAAGCAGGAGGATGGCTTTAGCCCAGGAGTTTGAGGTTGCAGTGAGCTATGATCACATCACGGCACTCCAGTCTGGGTGATAGAGTGACACCCTTGTTTCTAAAAAAATTATAATAAAAGAAAAAGAAAAATAACTTGAAAGTATGTAATTTTAATTGGCATTTTTACATAAAATATCACTAGTATCTTTTTATTTAGAATGGATTTATTATTTCAACCTAAAGTATGAAGTGTTTTGTTTACTAATACATTTTCATTATTTAAATTACAACTGCATTATTTTTCAGAATCCAGCAGCTTTTTTTTGTCTTTTTTTCTTGGTACTCATTGGTCATAACATAGTAGCTTTTAAAAGATTTTCTTTAGTAAGTTGAAAACAATAAAAAAGTATGAGCTCCCTCTGCTGGCTCCGAAGTGGCATATCAAGGTACATTTTGTTTATTTGGAAACAAACTGGCACATGGTACGTGCCATTAATGCAATTTGCTAATATTAAGAATAGTTTTAAACTGTGTTTTCCATAATTTTGTAAAAGTTAAATTATGCTAATGTGCCACTAATATTGGCAAGTAAGATTAGCATTTCAATATAAATTTTAAAGTTGTATTCATTATGTACCTGAGCTATTTGGTATATCCCTATATAGTGCCACATACATAAGTGTGTTGAACAGGAAAAGTTTCTGCATGCACCACAACAGGTACAGGAGGATTTTAGTTTTAAAATTTATTATGACTTTTGAATTGCAGTAATCATAAAACCTATGTTGTGTTAGTATATTAATATTTAGTTCATTAAAAATACCATAGTTTTTGTTGTTGTTGTTGTTTTGAGACAGAGCCCAAGTAGAGTGCAGAATCACCCAGGTTCAGATGATGCTCGTGCCTCAGCCTCCAGAGTAGCTGGGATTACAGGTATGCTCGTGACGCCCAGCTAATTATTCTGTATTTAGTTGAGATGGAGTTTCACCATGTTGGCCAGGCTGGTCTCAAACTCCTGACCTCAAATGATCTGCCCACCTCGACCTCCCAAAGCATTGGGATTACAGCCATAAGCTACCACATCTGGCCCATATGCATATTTTAAAGCTAGGAAAAATAGAAAATATTTGCATGTAAGCAGTGACATATAATTCTGAGTATCTATAAAATTTTTTGTCATGACACATAATCCCTGATGCATTGATTTATGATGTACTTTGCAAAATTTCAAGATACTTTTATTTTTATGATTTGTTTTTATCTTCCAGATCATTGATCTGTGTCTCAGTGGTGATCATCTCATCCTTCTATTTATCTACTAAATTCTTTAACTTTTTGTGTTGTACTTAAATCTGCTTAATGATGCCTTTTTAAAAAATTCAAATTTTCATCTCTCTTTTACAAGTTCTACTTTCCCCTTGTTTCTTCTGACTGATATTCCTCTCTCAAATTGCTGTCTCTTACATACGATGCTATTTTCTTGGTTTGCTCAAAAGCTCAATTCTGATTGTTGAAATACTGGGAATTCCACATGTGGTAGAAGGCAAAGGTGTTTCTAGTCAGCGGTGTGCTGAAGCCAGTTGTCACTAGCCTATGAGAGCTGATTATTAATTTTTCAAGAATTCTTCAAGCTAGTTGTTACAGACAGATTTTATTAAAGCTGACATATAAACTTACTTATATTAAAAACCAACACAATTTTCAAAATCATTTCCTAATTATTTAACTTCATTTTATTATTATTTATGCTCCTCAGCTAATTTACATCAACTGCATTTGTATGGTGAAAATATAGTATAATGGGGTGCTGCTGTGAATCTCTTTCCAATTCTGCATTCTGTGATCTCATAGTGGTAACGAAATCCACCATGGTGGGGACATTTACACAATAACTGGCAAATGCTACAAGGCTGGGCTTTTTCACTATTTTGTTGATTGTCTGGACATAAAAAAAGTGATATGGAAAATGTTACCGATACAAGCATTTGGGAAAAATAAACTAAAACCTTTTGTGAAAAACAATAGGTTCTATGGAATTTACAATAAATAATACTGTATATCTTATTATTTGTAAATTCTGTGCTACACATTCTTCATATCAGTAAAACAGAACATATATATGTATCCATACATTTTGTTTTATAGAAAGCCACTGGTTGAACATTAACCAGCACACTACTGGAGTCTCTACCCACAAAGGTAGTATATGTGGGCAAGCAGTCAATTCTCTGTGAGACTCCTGGGGGAGTCACGGACTTATTACATCAACAGTAGTGCTATGATTTTAAAATATGTCCACAAATTCTTTGACACATCTTCCATCTAAAGACAAGCCCTGATTTTCCTCCCCATGAATGTGAGCTGTACCTAATGACTAATCAGTGTGGTGGAAGTAACTGTGTTAGACTTCCAAGGCTAATTCATAAAAGACATTGTGGGCTCTATCTTACTCTCTTTTGGACTGCTTGCTTTGAGGAAAGCCAGTGGCCATGCCATGAGGACATTCGAACATCTATGAAGAAGCCCCACATGGTATGCATGAGGACTCCTGCAACAGCCATTTTGGACCTAGATTCTCCTGACCCGGACAGGGCTTCAAATGACTGGGGTCCCAGCAGACATCTTGACTGCAACTTCACAGGAGACTTTGAGCCAGAACCTCTCAGCTAAGCAGCTCCTGAAATCATGACACACAGAAACTGTGATGTAATGAATGTTTGTTGCTTTAAGTAAGCCCCTAAGGTTTGGAGTAATTTATTAGATGGCAACAGATAACTAGTATGAGCAGGGAATACTCATTATCCCCATTAAACTTCTTGGACTTTTGGGAGTCAATGAAATCTAAGACTCTCTCATATGGTGCCATACCAACTTTGTTGAAGGAAGGGTGTCTTCCCAGAGGTCTGTGAAAACCAAACTCTATTGAGGATTAAGGAGGTTCAGAAGCCACCAGTACCACTGTTCTTCATTTGTTTGCTTAATCCATTGGGGAGCAAGTCGTGGACCAACTTCTCATAGCAGAGTCCCCAACAGAGGTCAAGGTCCCACCTTCTCCACCTTCCTATAGGCCTTGGCAAGGATTTGGCTCAAGGGAGGCAAATGTCTTAGAGCTGGAAGAGAGGGAAAGGGAATTATGGCTAAGTTGCTATTTTTCAAGAATCTCCTGTATTTTTTATATATATATATATAATATAATGTATATATACACACACACACATATATGAGATAGTAATCTTATTGCCAAAAAGTAAAACAAAGTCAATAAAATTAGGTAAAAAGGTTTTAAAGACATCCATTATTTGAGAAAATGAAAGAACAAATCTCGTGTAATAATTTCTTTCCTATTCAGTTTAAATATTTTTCATGAAAAAGCACAAATGAAGGCCAGCATTTATTGTATTCATGCCTTTGGGCCATCTATAAACCTTTTAAAACTTTCTCCTAACTTTATATTAATGGAAAAATATACTAAAAAAAGGAGGAGGACCAACAGTCTTGTGTATTTTGCCTCTCATACCTACCAAATCATAATTACCAAAATGTCCAAGGCCATTTGTATCTATTATTTGTATCCTTTATTAGAGACATTCTATTTTACATTTTTTGTTAACATATTCATATATTTATAGCCCAAATATTGAGGAAATGAACTAATGCATAATGTGATTTAATATTGCTATTTTGTGGTTAGCTTTTTAATTTTACTATTTTGTCTATTTTTAATTACATAGCTATTGCATTCTGTCAGTTAACAAAGCCTGAATTAAATAGCTATCACATTCTGTCAATTAACAAAGCTTGAATTGAATCTGGCTCTGGGTCTTACAGCAGGTAACTTGTTTCTTCTATTAGCTTTCCAGCTGACTTTGGAAAAGTCCTTGCACATGCCCAGACCCCAATTTTGTCATCTGTAAATATGAAGATACTAAATTAGGTTATTCTTAAACTTCTATTCAGTTTCTATACTTTTAAACAGTTATTGAATAAAATACTAATCATATAAAAGGATACAAAAAATAAAAACTGAATTCTTATCTGAAACAGATTAAAATTTACTTGGCAAAAATAAAATCATATAAAGAAGTAGCTGGTCAGTTAAGTATTAGAAGAAGTCACAAGAAGAAGAAGGGAGTAGAGGCTGTAAGGGTTAGGGAAACTCAGAGGAAACAGAACACAGTGTGAATCTAAAGAATCTGAAGTTGATGGAAAAACCCAAGCAAGACCTCGTAAGATCATTATTGCTTTTTCAGCTCCCAGAAGGTCTTATAATGATAATTTGCACTAGGTTTGTTTTGGTGTTTTGTGTACTTGTATGTCTGTTTGTGATTTGAATTTGTCTTTCAAACATACAGCTCTCCAACTCATATAAATTAGTATCTACCTTCTGGAAAATTACATGCAAAAAGTTAAATAGTTTATTAAAGAAAAAGAATTAGAATCTGGTTCTTGTTAAAGTATTATAGTCACAACTTTTAGCATGCCAAGTGATCTCCCAACTTCTATTTGTAATAACTCCCTCTTCTTTACTCAAAGTGATAGGCATATACTTAAGCAAAGTCAAATAGATTCTCTATCTTGATAATTTGTATCTCAACACCCAGGGTGGGTGATTGTTATTGAGTCAGCTGAATGCAGGAGCATTCTATAGGAAAAGCCCATGACTGAACAAGTTTTGGCAGCTCTGATTCCTAGAGATTTGATGGTTGCTGTTGCCTTGGAAGCCTATTCAGCATTTCCTTTGATGCAATGAGTTACTTTAATTTCATTTTTTAAAAAAGAATTTATTCTTATATAAGTAAATTGACTATGGATATTGGTTGAATGAATGGAAGTACAAGCTGTTTTATAAGAAAAATATATGTCAACAGAGGTCGCGAGCCTCAGTGTGTGTTTGTTAGGCTTTGTATCAATGTACACTACCCCAAGCTTAGTGGCTTAAAAACATTTATTACTTTTCACCATTCTGTGAGTTGCCGGGGAGTTGTTTTGGTTTGCACTACCTGTGCAGGTGGGTTGGTTTAGGCTGGTCTCACTCACATGCCTGGTGGTTGTCAGGCTGGATCTTACTGGGACCTCATCACATGGCAGCCTCAGCATTCAAGCACTTTTCTAGTTGTTGCTTGCATCACATTTATTTTTATCTCATAATATTTACCTTAATCTCACTAGTAAAGCAAATCACTTGGACAAATCCAGAATCAATGTGGGAGGACGCTACTCAAAGCTCTGAATATGGGAAGTGTGAGCAAATTAAGAGGACATTACTGTAGAAATTTGTCAGGTGCTTGGAAATATGAGTAGAGACGGCTTTTAGCCTCCTCTACCTTTCTAGCTCCTTAAAATGCAAAACAAACAAAAACCCTGTAATTCTTTTTTTTTTTTAAACTAGTTCATTTTATTTTTTCCTCTTTCTCTGGGAGATTTACAAATATCAAAGAAAGTCCGTTTAAAAAAAAAAACAAAAAACCCGCCTTTCTTGTGGACTAATATTTCACTTCATGGCACCTTGAGAGTCAGACAAGTGTCAATCAACATTTCAAAAATGGTAATTATAATGTAGGAAAAAAGTGATAGACTTTAAAAAGGTATCATCTATCCTATGTTATATTTTGGGAATAAAACAGTGGATGAAAAAAAGCTTTTGCCTTCAAGGAACCTAATCTTTTAATAATACAACATGATGTAATTGTAACAGAGATAAACACTGTGAACACTCAGCCCAGTCAAGGAAGGTTTCCTGGAGAAAGTGACTTTTAAGGTAAGTCCTGGAGTTAGATGAAGGATAGGGTTGGGCATGGTAAATGTTCTAAACCGAAGGGGCTCTTTGTGCAAAGAACACAATGAGGGACACCATGGCTTGTTTGTAGAAATAGATTAAGGAATTTACAGTCTCTATGCACCAAAATATTATAGTGCTCTCTCACTTGAAATTCAAAATAAAAATAATGCTAACTATAAAATTACATGTAGGGAAGTCTTTCTGATTTTTCCCATGTTCTCCTCATTTAAAAAATAAATACTCTAAAAATATATTCATGCCCCTGTGTTGATGATTTATTCAGCATATACCAGTTCGTCTATTGCATAATGCAGTACTATTCTGGGAACTGCAGATACATGGTATGACACCATTGTAGAATGTAAAAAGTGGAGAAACTGAAAAGCTAGGCAGGTGTCAATTAATGAAAGATGTAAGAAAGCACGTGGTTAAGGATGTGGTGGTGATTACTGACCTGAGTTCAACCTCTGCCATTGATTCATTCTATACACTTGGGCAACTTGAAGCTTAATTTCCTCAGCTGTAAACTGGGAATGCTAAATTGTGAGTATAAATAAAGGTAAAGCATTTAGAACAGTGCTTAATACCATAAAACACAGTTAATTTCAATTAAGTATTACAATTAATAAATTTGTACTTTAACCTGGGATATGGGAAGCCAATAAAGGTTTACATGTTTAGGGGGGCTTGAATGGGTTTCTTTGGCTGAAGTGTATCATCTGGGTTGAATGACAATGAGCAGTATGCCTAGGAGGAAGACTCAATAGCTATTAATTGGGATATTAATTGGATAGTGGTAAAAGAAGAAGGATGATACCTAGATTTTTGACTTGAGCAATTGGATCATAGTGGCTTTCTATGAGTGACATATCACAGGAAACGGGCAAAATATTGGTTAGTGAAGATAATGAGTTTAGTTTTGGAGACTGATTTGAAATGCCTAGAAAACATCCAAGTAATGACCTTTGGGAAACATCAGCATGGATAGAGGAGTTTAACTAGTAAAAATAGGTAAGATGGGTTGGGGATCATGTTTAGATTGAAAAAAGGACCAATAGGAATTCCAAGGCACATCCATATGAAGTGTGGTTGAAGTTCAAGAAGGATACTTTAGAGGGTTCAGAAAAATCAGGGCGAAAAAAAAACTAAGATTGTGATACAGTAAAAATAGTGGGGAAAAAAGCGTTTCAAGAAAAAAATGTGAACAATGTTGTCAAATGTTATATTTGGTCAAATAACACAGTACTAAATGTGGACATTACATTTAGTCAATGTCAGTGAAAAGCAAATCACTGATAACCTTGGCAAGAAGTGTTTTGGTAAAATGGTGGAGACAGAACTAGTTCATACTGAACTGGAGTGATGGGAGGAGAGGAAGCTGAGACAGTGAGTACAAACAACTCTTGCTTGCCTGTAAAGAGAAAAGAATGGTGGCTGAAAGCAGATCTTCAATTAATAGAGCTGAATAGTTGTTTTTTAAATGATAGACACATAATGTCTATCATTTTGAAAATATCAACACCATTAACACTCTAGTTCAAACTTCCAACATCTCACATGGACCATTACAATATTCTCTTGTTTCCTTCTTCTACCACCCCCATTGTATCTTTCTTGGCTACTCCCCCCCCGGCCCCATATACACTCCATACAAATGTAATTATAGCCTTCCCTTACTCATCTAAGCCAGCTGTAGAAGGCTTTTCCCTCTTGAACTAGAACGGGTATACCTCTTAATATTCTCTGGTGAGAGAGATCAGAGAAGCTATGGGGCCTCACACTGCTGGTGAGTGTTCATCTCTATCCAGTAATTCATCTGCTGGTAAGTGTTTATTATTACTTAATAGTTTACAAAAGGAAGGGTGGTGGCCCGCACTTTGCTCTCAGTATTGGCTGGTCCCCCTGCAGGTACTCTTCCCTCCCTGGGTCCTACCACACCTGAGCTTCCCAAACTGAACAAATGCCAATGGTGTTTTCAGTAGTAGTTTCACAGAAGCATTCTAAAATATACCAAAGCAGTACAGAGTAAGAGGACTAAGAGTTACTCTATTAAAACACTGAGCTCTTTATTCCTCTCCTTTATTTCACATGAAAGGAAAAAGTTCTTAGCTTTTAGGAAGGCACTGTCCAACAAAAATATGTGAGCTGCATATGTAATTTTAAGTTTTCTAGGGGCTACGCTTTTAAATAAAAAATAGTAATAAAAAGGTGAGGGCCAGGCGCGGTGGCTCACGTCTGTAATCCTAGCACTTTGGGAGGCCGAGGCAGGCAGATCACTTGAGGACAAGAGTTCAAAACCAGCCTGGCCAACATGATGAAACCCCATGTCTACGAAAAATACAAAAAAATTAGATAGGCGTGGTGGCAGCTGCCTGTAATCCCAGCTACTCAGGTGGCTGAGGCAGGAGAATCACTTGCACCTGGGAGGCAGAGGTTACAGTGAGCAGAGATTGTGCCACTGCACTCCAGCCTGAGCAACAATTATAACAAAATAATATACTTTATTTAACATATTTATAGGCCAATATATCCAAAATATTATTCTTTCAATGTGCAATTAATGTAAAAATGAAGATATTTTACTTTTTTGTTGTTGAGGAACAACACATGAAAAACATTGTTCACGTTTTTTCTAAGGCTTTGAAATTTGGTGCACATTTTATACTTACTGCACACAATTCCAAATAGCCACAAGAACTCAACAGCCACACATTGGTAGTGGCTATGGTATGTGGCAGTGTAATTTGTTCTACCTCCTATGTTTACTATTCATTTACTATGAAAACACATGATGAACGTTGCTTCCACAGCCAGGAATTGGTCCAGCTGATGCTGTTAAGGGAGTCAACTCTTTCTTCTGGGAAGGAAGGATCAAATCCTGTCTGAGCTCTGGCAGTTACATGAAATGCAGGCTGTGAGCTCATTCCTAAATTCTAGTTCACCTTGTATGGTAGATTATATTATAAACTCACTTATGTTTGCTGCTCCTCCTTGCTCCAGCCTATTTTGAATCAGGCTTGGTCACGTGACTTGCTCTGGTCAATGAAATGTGGAGAGAAGTGAGCAGAAATTGTAGGAGAGGAAACATGGTTTGCCATAATCTCTTTTGTGTCCACCATTATGACTGACAATGTCCCAAACAGACAGAGGCTGCTCCATCAGTCTTGGACCTGGAGGGGGACCACGTGGAGTAGAGGTGTAGCTAACCTGTAATGGACATGCAGGGTGTGAGAGGAATGAACCCTTGTTGTTCATTACTGCAGCCAAACCTAGCCTCTTCATAACTTATGTACTATTGTTTGTAGGTGATGCAGACTGTTTTTTCTCTTTGTTGTCTGGAGGATGGGACAGTGCAGCTTCAAAACTTTCGACAGTGTCTCCTAAGGGCATTTCATTATGCCTGATGTTTGTTATTGCAATGTTATTGGTTGTTTTCCTGGCTTAGGTTCTGACCCCCAATAAAAATGGCCTCACAGGAGAATGGCGTAAACCCGGGAGGCGGAGCTTGCAGTGAGTTGACATCCGGCCACTGCACTCCAGCCTGGGCGACAGAGCGAGACTCCGTCTCAACAAAAAAAAAAAAAAAAAAAAAATTGGCCTCAAATTTCAAAAGCCTTAATTAAGGTTTTACATCATTACCTTTTTCAGTTTTGTCCCAAGGCTGCTAAGGAACTAAGAACAATATGCAAAGGTGAATTTTCTGCAAAAGATTATCTGTGCCTTCCCACACTTCAATTAGTAAGCAAATAAGATTTCTTTTCTGATTTTTTCCCCCTGATTTTTGGCTTGAAGAACAGAGATACCTCTACAATAAATATTTGTTGGAAAAAAAAGGAATGAAATGAAATGATACGACAGCAGCTTTCTAGGTGGGATCATATGCATATAAACATGTGCATATCTACTTATGAAATCCATGGTGAAAGTCTGTGAATCTGCTTTCTCTTGGAGTGGTTAAGTATTTATTCTTGTAATAACTAACAAATGCCATTTGTAGTGTGACAGGTGAGTGAACCCCAGGATTCTTGACTTTGTCTGAGCTGACAGACTGTCACCTAGGTTATGGGTTTTATTCTCCAACGTTCATTCATTCAACAACAGAACCTGCCACGTGCTATCAACTTCTCTAAGCACAAGAGATACAGTTGTAGAAAAGACAGGCAAAATCTCTGCTTTCCTGAAACTTCTGTTGTAGCCAGTCTGTTAGACATTCCCAGATATCTTTTTGTTTTCTGGGTCTCTCTATCTTAACAGATTTTTTTTAAAAACGTTTTTTATTATGGAAAATTTCAATATATAAGAGCTCAAAGAATTATAACCATCCCCATCATCCAATTTCAACCACAATCAACTCATGTCCAATCTTATTTCATTGATACTCTACTCTCTCTCCTTATTCCATTTCAAATCATTTTGATAGCACAAGTATCACATCATTTCACTTACATGATCTTTAATAATATTACATACATGTTTTTCCTCTGGATGCTGAGATTTATACTTACCTGTCCTCATTTGACTGTTTGTATGGGAGACTTTGTGTCTGCATGTCTGTGTGTGTGAACATGCAATATATGTATATATACCTTTTTAATGTTATGATTATTACCCACCATAACCATATCCATAAACAGTTCCACAGCACCTATAGAGATGGGGGCATAATTCATCATGGGTACAAACAGAGTGCCCCCTGAAGAGTTGGTGATTGCCTCTCAAAGCTTTTTAGGTGGGTGTGGTGGCTCATGCCTGTAATCTCAGCACTTTGAGAGGCCAAGGCAAGCAGGCAGATCACTTGAGCTCAAGAGATCAGCCTGGGCAACATGGTGAAACCCTGTCTACCAAAAATACAAAAAGGAAATTAGCCAGGCATGAGTGTCATGTGCCTGTGGTCCCAGTTACTCAGGAGGCTGAGGTAAGAGGATCACTTGAGCCCAGGAGGTAGAGGTTGTAGTGAGCTGAGATTATGCCACTGTACTCTAGTCTGGGTGACACAGAGACTCCATCACACATACAAAAAAAACAAAAGCAAAAAAAGCTTTTTGTTTTTCGGTTTTGGTTTTTTGAGATGGGGGTCTCAATCTGTTTCCCAGGCTGGAGTGCAGTGGTGTGATCTTGGTTTGCTGCAACCTTCACCTCCTGGGTTCCAGTGATTCTCCTGCCTCAGCCTCCCGAGTAGCTGGGATTACAGGTGTGTGCTACCGTTCCCGGCTAATTTTTGTATTAAAATAGAGACAGGGTTTTGCCATGTTGGCCAAGCTGGTCTCAAACTCCTGACCTCAGGTGATCCACCCCATCAGCCTCCCAAAGTGCTGGATTACAGGTGTGAGCCACAGCACTCGGCCTTAAAAAAGCTTTTTATGCCAGAAGTGCTCTGGTCCAATTTAGGGGGATATGATAGTATGTCTTTTTTTTTTTTTTGAGATGGAGTCTCGCTCTGTTGCCCTGTTGCCCAAGCTGGAGTGCAGTGGTGCAATCTCAGTTCACTGCAACATCTGCCTCCTGGGTTCAAGTGATTCTCCTGTCTCAGCCTCCCTCCCAAGTAGCTGGGATTACAGGAACCCACCACCATGTCCAGCTAATTTTTTTGTTTAGTAGAGATGGGTTTCACCATGTAAGCCAGGCTGGTCTCCAACTCCTGACCTCAAGTGATCTGCCTTCCTCAGCCTCCCAAAATGCTGGGATTACAGGTGTGAGCCACTGTGCCTGGTCTGGGATATGATACTATGTATGTCTTCTGATCTCAGTTTACAACATCAGTAATTGCTCAAGTGTTTCCTCTTGAATTACCTAAGGATATCACAGAAAGTGTTACTTTTCTTTGCAAGTCATCAGTGTCTAGTCTTAGATAAGAAAACTATATTCCCTTTATTAACATGACCTTGATCTTCTAGGAAAATAAAAACCCTTGAATTATTATATTAGAGTACGATATGCTTCCTGTTTTTATTTTAAAATTCCCAAATTTAATCAGATTCTCTCTTAAAAGAAGTATGCGTTGGTGTGTTCATATTTTTAATTCATCCTGCCACACCAAAAACCTTTCAATGGCTTCACATCATTATTTTAAATAAAATCCAGTTCCAAAATCTTAACATGAAATTTTTTTTTACCTCTAACTTGACTGACAGCCATTTCCCATGTCCCTAATTTGATACCCTCCCACCACTCTGTCCTTAAGATCCTGACTCTTCTTTACCTCAGGAACATCCCACAGGCTATTATGTGTGCTGGAATGTTCTTGTTTCTACTTTGATTCACATGACTTTTACTCATTATTCACTTTTCTTAACCATTTAAGTATCATATCCTTAGAGAAACCATGCTTGAGCCTTTACAGTCTAAATTGCTAAAATGGTTCATAGTTTCCTCTTTCACAATACTTAAAATTTTATTATTAACTATGATTTTTAAAATGTACAAAACCAGAATGAATCAGATGATTAAATTCGTGTTATAGTGTTCTCTGGGGAGTGGATGCTGAGATGGGGTTAAAAGTGCAAAAAGTTTACTAGAGAGTAGCACCTGTGAAATGGAAAGTGGGGAAGCAGAATTGGGTGGGAGAGCCATTAGATTACCATGCAGGTGCTGACAATACTTCTGCCATCCCAATATCGAGCAGGTCCTTATCCCTTGCTCAGTCTTGAGCTGGGGATGGGCATGTGGGAGAGGGTTTGCCTTGAGAATAGCGTAACTTCAACGTGAAAGCTGAGGTGAACCTAGAAAGAATTAACAACTGGAGGCTGTCATGTATCTATGCTCCTTGCAGTTGGGCAATGAGTCCTTTCTTGAAGGGAGATCTGAGCCGCACACCCCTGTGACTGCTATACATTGTAGGATGTCAACTCAATCCAAATTAATCCATAACTTCAACGAAGATTTTTTTTAACAAGTTCAACCATCTTGTTCTATGTATTTGGAAAACTAAAGGTTCATATTTATTTATTTAGATGTAGTTTCACTCTGTCGCCAAGGCTGGAGTACAGTGGCACAATCTCGGCTCACTGACAACTCCACTTCCCAGGTTCAAGCGATTCTCCCACCTCAGCCTCTGGGCTGGGTACTACAGGTATGTGCTAACGCACTTGGCTAATTTTTGTATTTTTAGTAGAGATGGGGTTTCACCATGTTGGCCAGGCTGGTCTGGAACTCCTAACCTCAAGTGATCTGCCTGCCTCGGCCTCCCAAAGTGCTGGGATTATAGGTGTAAGCCACTGTGCCAGACCAAGATTAATATTTAGCCAAGTTAAATTTGAAAAAGAGCAAAGAAGAGGGATTTGCCTTATTATATATTAAGATATTCTATAATACAATACAATAGTAAATAAAAACAACATGGTACTGGTGTAGTCACAGACAAAATGACCAATTGAAAAATAGGTCAGAAGCAGAACACAAATGAAATGAAAACAGAAAGATACAAGTGGCATCAAAAATCAAACAGGAAGGAGACTGGGCACAGTGGCTCACACCTGTAATCCCAACACTTTAGGAGGCCGAGGCAGGCCGATCACTTGAGGCCAGGAGTTCAAGAACAGCATGGCCAACATGGTGAAACCACATCTCTAATTAGATGGGCATGGTGGTGCACGCCTGTAGTCCCAGCTACTTGGGAGGCTGAGGCAGAACTGCTTGAACCTGGGAGGCAGAGGTTGCAGTGAGCTAAGACTGCGCCACTGCACTCCAGCCTGGGAGATGGTGAGAGACTCCATCTCAGGGGGAAAAAAAAAAAAAAGAAAATCAACAGGAAGGAATAAACTGAGTAGACTTATAGAAAAAAAAATGGCCTAGATCCTCACTTTACACCACAAACAGGGATGTATTACAGAGAGAATAAAGACTTAAGTGTGATTCTAAGTAGAGTAATGGACTGTAAAAGAAATAGAAGAAAATACAGAACCTCTTTGTGATCTGGAAATCACTGGAAATGCAGACTGTTTTTAAATAAGACTTCAAAAGCACTATTGAAAGTAGTAAGACTGTACTCAACTGGAGAAGACAGCTGGAAAAATCTGAGGAATTCAGCACACTATAGAGAATATTCCTGGGATCAGTGCAGCTGAAAGATGAAGGCAATTTATGGTAATAAACCATAAAGAAATATAGGTCTGTTAGAGGGTATATCACTCTCTTGCCTATCTGAAATAATTTCTCCTGCCTCTGCTTCCTTCCTATTTGAAACAAAGCATGTGTCTTCAATAAACATTTTTTGAGTTTCAGACAGAGTTAAGAGCAGATAGTAGAGAGGAATAAACTTGAGTCCAGTCCTTAAAAGAGCTCATAAGGCCAAGAAAGATGAGAAAACTAAATAAAACGTTTTATTTTTATCTGTCCTCACTATCTCTTCCCAGTAAATGTTTTAACTCCCGTTCTACAGGTAGGGAGCTAGACCTTTGTCTAGGGTATCACTGATGTACTGGCATTTGAGCAATAAGGAAAATCATTCTGGCAAAAGGAACAGTGCTAATAAAGTCATAAGGCCTTGAAAGAACATGGTGTATTGGAAAATGTTAAGCAGGTAACCTAATACTGGACATTCCAAAATGTACGTTACTGAATAGAGAAAGTAGTCTATGGCAGCTGTTTAGTCTTCTCTTAGTAGAATTGATGATTACATCAGCTAATTGTTACCTTTGAAGGCAGGGCCAAAGAAGATGAAGCAGGGATAAATGAAGGATAAACGTTAATGGTTAAGGAAGAGAAGCATTCTAGGAAGCAAAAATGACTCGCCGTGGAGTGATAATAAACACTGTACTATAAATTTAGGAGGAAGATATTGCTATCAGCCACAGTGGCCAGGAAAGGCTTCATGGAAGTGGTAGGGCTTCCTTTGGTCATTCAAAAAATAGAGTTGATCCTTATTACTTGCAGATTCTGTATTTGTGAGTTTGCCTACTTGCTAAAATTTATTTGCAATGCCCAAATCAATACTTGGAAAGCTTTTGCAGTCACTTGTCGACATGAACAGAGGCAAAAAATTTGAGTCACGTGATGCACATGTTCCCAGCTTTGGTGAAACAAGGGGATGCTTTGCCTTCCTGTTTTAGCTCTCACACTGGAAACAAGTGTCCTTTTCATGGTCTATTTAGTGCTATAATTGTTGCATTTTTGAGCTTTTTGTGATTTCACTGTTTAAAATGCCCCCCAAGTGTAGTGATGAGGCTACCTAGGTGCCTAAGTGCCAGAAGGCTCTTCTTTTTAAAGAGAAAATACATACACCATGTAAGCATAAGTTATAGTGCCACTGGCTATGAGTTCAATGTTAATGAATCAACTATATTAAATAAGGTGCCTTAAAAATTTTTTTCTGCCTACATAAGGTGCCTTTAAAAAGAAACACACATAAAGCAAGGTATTTATGGGCTGGTTGACAAACATTTGATAAGAGGCTTGAAGGAACCTAATCCTGTATTTATCCTAGTAGCAACGGTTCCATATTCACTAATTCATTATTTGTGAATTATTCACAGAACCACTGTGAATAAGAATTGGCTGTATATATTAGTGGCTGTTCTTGAAGCGGGGGATTCAAAGCTATAATCCACTAAAGAACAGATAATCACATACTTGCAAAAATAAAGCTATGAGTGCTATAAAAGAAGCAAACACAGGCTGATGTCAGAACATCTCAGAGGGACTCTTGCTTCAGATAAGGGAGGTGAAGGATGGATTTCCAAAGGTGATGCTGCATTTTGCACTGCAAAAATGCACTGCATTTTGACGTGTAAGAAGAATCCATCAAATGAAAGGTAGAGAAATGCATTTTGCAATGGCTCAATTTAGTGAGAGGACACACTTTTGTGGAGACAAACGGTTACTCCATCTTGAATGCTAATTTGTCATGCTGACTTCTGATTAGGCCCAGTCCTGTGATTATTACTTTATTTACTGTCCTTAGTGTAAGAACAAAGCAACCCTGATGTTATCACACAAATTACAGGCTATGATGCATATAGCATTCTTGCCTGTCTGGAGGGCTGCCTTTAAATGTCTCTATAGAGTACGTACACCCTTTCCTTATGGCACGTAAGTACTGGTCTGGGGAGTAACAGGGCAGAGATCTACCTGTCTTGCTGCCACTCAAGAGCATGCTTCTGTCTGTAAGTTACCCCCAACAAAACACTGTTTACTGACCAAACTGGATTGTCTGCTTTGTTCATTTGATTTCTCCTTTGATATCTGGGGGCACCTTGCATAAAGGGCCTTTTCATGGAACAACTTCTTTTAAGGAACTCAAAATAGTTTAGGATGGCTGGAGCAAAGACCGAAAGGCACTGAAAGGAGTTTCTAGGCAAAAAGGAAGGTGTCTGATTTATGAAAAAACCTTTATAGGATGTTAAATAATGTGTTTTATTCTAAAGATAATGTGGAAGTTGAAGATTTTAAGCAAGAAAGTGACATGATCAGATCCAAATTTTTGAATTATTGCTATTAAAGGCAATGATTATGAGGGTAACTGAAGATGAACTGAGATGGAGGTCAGCATAAAAGGCAAAGATATTAAATGGCTTTTGCTATTATTTAGGAAGAATAAAAGACTTTAAATAAGACAGTGATAGGTATGAGAGATGGATGGGCAAAGTTTGAGTAGTCAGGGAAAGTAGTAGAAGCGTTCTCTGTGGAAAATAAAGTGAACAAATGTTTGGAGAAAGGGAGGGTGAGCAAATCAGTTTACCTGGGGTATACAGTATTTGATAGAAGCTTTGGAAGGCTGAAGTGGAGAACCAGAGTCATGGAATAGCTGGTGATAAGGCTGAAAATATTGGTGACATCAGCCTGTGGCAAGGCTACAACAAACAGACTAAACAAATATAATTTTAACTTTTGGCAGTATTAAATTTATAAACAAATTTTGTTGTAAAATACATATAAAACCTACCGTTTTCATTAAGTATATGGTCCACTGCAATAAGTACATTCATAATGTGCAACCCACACACCACCACTCATCTCCAGAATCTAAATCATCCTAAACTGAAACTCTATTATTCACTGAAAAATAACTCCTCATTTCCCCTTCTCCTGGGCACCCTCTCCACCCCTGCTCTTGCTACCTTTCCAGCTTCTGTCTCTAGGAGTTTTGACTACTCTAGATACTTAATGTAAGTAGAATCATAATATTTGTCCTTTCATAGCTGGTTTATTTCACTTAGCTAAATCACTTTAATCAACACCCTGGTTATTCAATAGCTGGATTCTAATTTGTATTCTACTCTATATGCTGTATTTTAAAACAAATGTCTTGCTTTGTAGTTCATAATCTTTCCACTTAATCCTTAAGGAGACTTCACTCTAGCAAATTATAAACTCAGAGTTCCTAAGAACAATTTAGCCTATGGGTGTCTCTCATAAAGAGCTTTCATTGATCTCCTTACTGAAAATATCTTTAGATTGTGAATATTTTCATTCCACTACAGTTCATGGAACGTAGACGCTTCGTAAAATTCCACCTAGTATCTAAATAGAACTCAAGCAGGAATCAAACTTATTTGATCACCCAGGAAAATAGTTTGTTTATTTGGGTTGCTGATATGAAGACTCTCTTTTTTGATACTATATAATTTCCCGATGTGAGATAGGGCTGAATTTGCTCTAAATAAAGAGCATTTTTAAAAACAAAAAAACTTATCTTTATCTAGGGGAAAGTGCAGGCTGGAAACTACCTGAGAGACGTGAAGGTTCTCTCACCTTTCCCTTGGAGCATCCCTGAGTCATTAGGGCTCTACCAACAAGTCGAGTACTGTTGGACAAGGCACTAATCCTCTGGCGGTCTCGTTGGGCTCCATTAGACCAGCCTGTATTTATAAACCTCGTTCACATCACAGCATACACAGAATATGGTACTGGTAGGGCACTTAGGTAAATTGACGAGATAGCGCGCTCTGCACCTGGAACCTACGGGCCGCCTGGTGTCGCGCACGCGGGTGTGTACGCTCTCAACGAGCGATCCATCCGGCAGGTCCGTTCCAGCTGACAGGCCACTGCCGTCTTACCGGGGACGAGCTAGGGCTCCCGCTGTTTCTGAAGTCAGCGGTCTTTTCCTCCTTGTAAGAAACAAGTTCTTTATATCATAAAGATAAGCAAAGAATAAAAAGGCACAAAGGCCGCAAGCAAAGCACACACTCAAAAACCGAACTACAGCACTCGACCCGCGCATTCTCCGCCGACCTTACGTCTCTTCCCAGCAGGCTCCAGGAACCACCGCGAGACTTTCATCAATTATCGTGAGATTTATCGGCAGCCATCTTCTTGGGGGTGCTGGGAGGCAGGAAGACCCCCTGAATCGTTCCCATTGAGCTGCCCTTCGCCTTCGCTTTCTTTACTTTTGCCTTTTCGACGTAGCCAACAAGCACCTGGTCCCGAGGCCGGGAGAACGCCTGGGTCTAAGCGCGTGTCGCGCTTCCGGTCTGGGTAGATTTGCTGGGGAAGAGGGAAGGGGGAGGGCCCGGGCAAACCGTTGCTGCTTCAGCCCGGGCCGGGGTCCGGGGACGGGGAGCTCCTGGCATCCCGTGCATTTGCGGCCTGTGGCGGTCCCTGCAGAGCTGTTCGCCGACCGGGGCCCGCGGGAACCTGCCACCGGCGCCTCCCACCGCGGCCCACGCGGGCGGCGCGCGGAGGAGGGGGCGGGGGCAGCGGCGGCTGTAGCGGCCGCGACCTGGGCGGGCGGAGGAGTGTGACGGGCCTTAGGGCCGCTGTGGATGGTTTCTAAAATGATCATTGAAAACTTCGAGGCACTCAAGTCCTGGCTCAGCAAGACTCTCGAGCCCATGTGAGTATCCGGGGGATATCTCTTTGCAGGGATGGCAGTGGGAGATAGGCGGATCCACAGATCTGTGCGGTTTCCCCGAGCGCCTACGGTGGAGGCCGAAGCGGTGAACGGAGGTCCCAGGGCTCTGTGGCTTTTCCTCCTCGTCCACCTCGCTTCCAGGTTCAAGATACCCCCAAGAGCCTGACTCGAGTTTTATTTTATTGCTGAGCTGGTCTCGTTTTCCCGTTATATGTAGACCGATTCCAACCCCCCACCCCCAATATTTTCCGAGGGCCTCAAAATCGGTTTTTAGTGAAACCGACTGTATTTTCTTTCCTACAGACTATTTTACCTTGTTTTTCTAAATGAAGTAGACGGCCTTTATTAGGGATTCGGGCAGTTCTAGCTTAAATCAGTCACGTTTCACCTAAATACAATTCCTGAAAGCAAGGCCACGTCTCCCATGTGCTGTCTGGCTCATCTGCACCTCTTTTCACTGATTGAAGATGTAACAGGTGCTGAGATGGCCAGTAAAATTCCCCTTTCCCGCCTACACGTTCGTTAGCTTGGAGAGGAGGAAGAAAATTGAATCTTCATACATATGGAATATTTAGCAGTTTTAAGTGGGATGCTATAGATAGACTTTGTGTTGGGGGGGCCCTTAGAGTGCTGAAATAGTCTTAGATTGGAAAATTTAAGGAGTATTTTGACGACTTGTTAATACTAAATATAACATGGACCAAGTGCTTTATCAGACTTGGTTGATTTATAATGCAATGAGGAAAATTCACGCATTTAATGAAGTTATTAGGTACCTACTGTGTACTACGGGAGGCTTTGGGGATAGAGCATTTAAATTCTAAAATCGACAAGAGATAAATCCAGATATTAATAGAGCTGTGACTATTTTAATAATCATGTAAAAGAGTGATTATGAGGGAGGCTACTTCACATTGGTCAAGGAAGGACTCTCAGAGAAGGTGACATTGGAGCAACATCTAAAGAAGAGAAGGGACCATCTGTGTCAAAGTCTTGGAAAAGAACGTTTCTTGCAAAAGGAAGAGCAAATGAAAGGCGCTGTAGCAGAAGTAATTGTGGTGTGTTTCAGGAAGAGAGAGCCCACTGTGGCTGCAAGGAGCCTTGTGATGAGGGAGAGAATATAAAGACGAGAAGTTGGACAAGTAGGTAGGGGCCACATCATGTATGGGAAGACGTGAGATGATTTAAAGCAGACAAGGACTCATTTAATTTTGTTTTTAGTCTGCCTATTTTGTAGAGACTGAGAGGACAAGAATGGAAGTAAGGAGACTATTCAGAAGGGTATTATAGGCAGAGATGTGGCTAGTTTGCATTAGAATTTATTGTAGGCAGAGATGTGGCTAGTTTGCATTAGAGTGATGGTGGAGACAGGCAGATCCAAATACATTTCGTAAGTAAAATTAATGGATTAAATGTGGGAGATGAGGGAAAGGGAAATCAAGGGTGGTGATCGCCTTAGATATACCAAGCAACTGAATGGGTTATAGTAGAGAAGGCAGAGAACAGGTTAAGGAGAGAAGGAAACGGGTTGGCTAGTTTTGATAATAAATAGAGTAAGTATGAAGTCTGTGGGATACATCTAAGTGTGAGATCATTGAATGTATGAGTCTAGAACTCAGGACTGGAGAAATCTGGAGTCATGCAGATGGTATTTAAAACCATGACATTGTGGGAAATTTCCTACGAAAAATGTGTAGATAGGGAAGAGAAGAGGACCTAGTACTGAGGCAGGAGGACACTGGGCTTTATGTCATTAAACAACAAGTGTGTGACAAAAGAGAGGAGTTTATGAAATGCTGCAGAATGCGTGAAAAAATGTAGGCAAATAGGTGGCTCTTAGATGTAGCAAAGTAGAAGTCGTTGGTAACCTTAGCAAAATAGTTTCACTAGAGTGGAGTTGTGCAAATGGAAGCCCTATTTCAGTGTATTGGAGAGTGGGCATCATAGTATAGGGGTGAGAAGAACTCTGGAGCAGAATGTCTGGTTTTGAATACTGCCGCTGCCACTTACCAGCTGTATGATATTAGGTAAGTTACTTAACTCAGGGCTTCCATTTCCTCAACTGTAAAATTGGGAAAATAATGAATGTATATTAAGGAAATCTTAGATTACTGCCTGGTGCGTAATTAGCATTCAGTAGTTATTAGGTGAACACAAAACTTATGAATGTTTTGGGTTGAAATAGCTTTCCTTTAGGCGTTCAGTTTCATATCAGATTTACTGCCATATCCCCCCCCACCGTCTTACCTAAATGAGAAGACTGTAGCCACTTAGAGTGTATGCTTGTAATTTTTCTTTAGTCTTAATAAAACATATTCCATGTATCATAAAGCCTACTCTCGATGGCTGTTGCACTGCAGTCATTATGTTGTCGTAAATAAGGCACTGCTAGTAGAGCCTAGACACTGGGAATTGTAATTGGTCCTTTTCTAATGTATGTAGCTGTAGTAAAATTGAGCCCTTATCCAAGTTCTTGTCCTTTTAATTGCATTTCAGGTGGATTCTTTTGTATAATTTATAAAAGCTGATCCCAGTTATTTAAGATCAGTGATTTCTAACCTTGGTTTTGTGAAATGTTATGATCTGTTATCTAAAAGGATTTTTTATTTTTTTATTTTTTTTTTGCTTTAACATTGTGATTACCAAACTACTCTGTTTGAGAGAGGAACATACAGAGGACCAAGGGTAAGCTGTAACTTGAAACTTACATAAAACTTTTTAGTTACCTGTGCTGGTTAAATACTTCATGGTTTTGGACTTACTCCACATTTTGAACGTGTTAATTCAGCAAACATTTATTTTAAGAGTGCTTAACCTACTCTGTGCTAAGCAGTGTGCAAGATATTGGGGAAATAGGTAACAAGACGTGAAATGACTCTTCATTTTATTTACCATTTAGCAGGAAAGATAGGTGTTGAAGTCTGGGAACACTTCCCTGGTGTAATGTTTATCTCAGCTTGGAAGGATGAAGAACACTTTGCGGGGGAAAAGGATGGGATTGGAGACCTGTGAAAGCATTGTAGGTTTGGTGAACAGATTGTATGGAGGTCCTAAAAATGGACAAAAAAAGATATCTTGGAGGAAGTGAAAGAAATAGAAAAAAGCAAGGGAGAAGAATGGCAGTGGAAAGCTCCAGAGAAAGGAGTCAGATCACACAGGACTTTGTTGAGTCATGTTTAAGACTTTGGATGTTATTGATAGTGGGAAGCCAGTGAAGGGTTTTAGAGCAAAAGGGTTTTCAGATGGATGTTTTAAAAAAAAAGCCTGGTTGTGTTTTCAGCGTGGGATAGAAGTCTGCATATCTGTATTTTACTCTTTAATAACTTCTGTACATGTACCAGGGTTCTGAGTTTCATAAATTATTGAAAATAATTTTCAATGTCTTTTTCATCAAATTGAAAATTTTGAACTTTATTGTCATCTTGAAACGCTTAAGACTGATGTTTTGTTATCTCAAAGTTTTGCTTAGTCATACTTGCTAATAATATGAGACTAAATATTAGTCTTTTTTCTAATATTTCGTTTTGATGATAAGTCCTGAAAAAAAATTAAGCTCTTTTGTTGTAGTAAACTTACAAAAACAAAAAAAAACCAAAAAACTTTCTATTGTATTTAAAACTTTTAAGTGGACTTACTCATCAAAGTCATGTTTTTTGTTTGTTTATTTTCCGAAGAGACACCGAAAGATCTAATGAAACTTTAATTTTTTAGAAAATAAAATTGAGGGGCAGATGGATGTAATGATGTACTCAGGTTTTGTGAGTTGAGTAGTAAAGAAGAAAATGCCTAGTGTTGTGCTTCTGCCACTGTGTAGTACTGTGGAGGAAGTGTGTGGTGGAAAGAAGATCTCTGTGTCCAGATAGATCAGTATTCAAATCTCACTTCTGCCGTTTAGTAGCTGTCTAGGCAAAGGAACCTCCTCTTTCCTTATTGGTATAATAGGAAAGGGTTGAATGGGACACTTGTTTGAGAGCCTTGCCCTTCCCCTCCTTTCTTAGATAATTGGTTGATTAAACACAGATAGGTTACATTACTA